GTTAAAATTATTTATTGACATTCTTAAGTAATTGATTTGAATGTGTGTTTTTTAACCTAACATAATTTACCTTAAAATCATAGAATCAGAGAATTCAAGTGGGAAGGAACCAAGAGACATTAGTTAAAAATCACTGATTTAATGTTTGAATTATCTCAACTTGATGGGTGACAGAGTTCATAATCAAATTGTAGTTACTTTATAATTATTGAAAATGACTCAATTTAAGTAGTAGTCTAGGAAAAGTTAAAGCTTAAGTCATAACACCCAATAACACAAAATAATTTAAAAATCTAATAAACACGTAGTATATGCTGGGAAATGTACGTGACTGCCTGTTACTCCTCTATTTCAGAGAGGAAGAAATTGAGGCTCAAAGAGGCTAAGTAGTTTGCGTAAGGTCACACAATAAGGGGCAGAGCTAACATTTAAAGCTTATCTGACACTCAGGTCCAAGGTCTTAATCACTACTCTATGTGTATTATCACTGTTCCATCTATGAATCGCCTGCCGTGCTTGTAAAAATGCAGATTCCAGGGTCTCATTTTTTACCTCTCTAATTATACTTCTTCAGGTGAGTTTCTAGAATCTGTACCTTTTTCACAATCGTCATAGGTTCCTACATACAAGTCTGAGAACCACCATTCCAAAAATGAACATCCAATGTATCCCATTACATTCAGTATATAGGTTCAGACAGTTGCTCAGTTCTGCCATGTGCTGAGCCTTATGCTAGACACTCAAAGGAGGCCAAGACAGGCCCTTCTTGTCCACTGGTATAAATGGACAAAAGCTCACAGTCTAGAAAAGAAGACAGATATGCAGACTGACAACTGTAATACCGTTGTGATATACCCTGTGGGATTTGGGAACCCAGGGAAATTAATGAGTCACAGACCCACCAAAAATATACCCTGAAATACAGAAAACACTATGTCCTGTATCAGGCTCAAGTCAAGAAAGAACTTGGCTCCATGGGCTCTGTGGGGAGGGAGTGGGGGGAGGGCACATGTGAGGGATGAACCTTTACAGGGAAGGAATGGGGCATAAACAATTTTGTATAGATGCTAACTTCTAAACTGATGGAGCAGATGCTCTCCAGATGGAAGGGGTGGAGTGAGAGGATGAGGGCCATTCAGGGCCAAAGTGAAACTGGGTATTTCAAAAGAATGGGGAGTTGATAAGCCTACACAGGGGCCAGATCAATCATAAATGGTCTTGTTCTTCATGTCAAGGATCTTGGATTTTAACCAAATGATCAAGGGAAAACAGCTTAAAGAGAAATAAGCAGATCATGATTTCAAACCATTCTGGCAGCAGTTTAGAAGATAGGAGGATGAGGAAATTACTTAGGTCCATGTAAAAAATGTATACACAACATTCATTGCAGCATTGTAGCCAAAACAACCCAAATGTATATTAACAGGAGAATGAATAACAAAATGTGGTATATCCATACAATGGAATATTATTCAGCCAAAAAAAGGAGTGAAGTATTGATAACATGCTATAACATAGATGAACCTTGAAACCATGCTAAATGAAAGAAGCCAGTCACAAAGAATCACATATTGTGCGATTCTGTTTATACAAAGTGTGCAGAACAGGCAAATCTGTAGAGATAGAAAGTAAATTAATGGTTGCTTACAGCAAATGGGGAGTGACTGCTAATGAATGGGTAAGGGGTTTCTTTTTGGATTAATGAAAATATTAAAAAATTGGTCATGGTGATGGTTGTACAACTCTGTGAATATACTAAAAATCAATCAAATGCACATTGTAAATCAGTGAACTGACTCTTATATGAAGTATATTTCAATTCAATAAAAAAGGCTATAAAGAAAAATAATTAAGTGGTTGTGCAATACTGATTTATGCTTGATGTTTCAGCTCTAGATCAAGCTTGTACCCACCAGCATTAATGTTCTTGCCACTAAGCAAAGTTCAGAATATCAGTTTTATACCTAATTTCAAGTCTGGAGTATCAAAGTCTTCTATTTAGGCTGGAGTTTCATGTCTGGCTTCTTTCACTTAGTATAATATTTCAAGGTTCATCCATGTTGTAGCATGTATCAAAACTTCCAATCCATGAACAAGGGATGTCTCCCATTTACTTACATTTTCTTTAATTTTTCAGCAACATTTTGTAGTTTTCAGGATACAAGCTTTATGCTCCCTTGGTTAAATTTATTTCTAAGTATTTTATTCTTTTTGATGCTTTTAAAAATGGAAGTGTTGTCGTAATTTCATTTTCACAGTTGTAGTCTTCCTTACTTGTAATTATCTTTTTCTGATTGTGTTATCAGGGTAATACTGGCCTAACAGAATAAGTTAGGAAGTGTTCTCTCTTCTATTTTTAGAAGAGGTTGAGAAATACTAATGTTACTTTTTTAAAAACATTTGGCAGAATTTACCAGTGAAGCCATGTAGTCCTGGGCTTTTCTTTATTGAAGTTTTCTGATTATTAATTCAATCTCTTTAGTAGCTATAGGTTTATTCAGATTTTCCTCTTCTTGAGTCAAATTTGTGTATTTCTAGAAATTTGTCTATTTCATCTAGGTCATCTAATTTTCCAGCATACAACTGTTCATAGTATTCCCTTTTAATCTTTTTTCTCCTGTAAAACTATTAGTCATGTCTCCTCTTTTATTCCTGATTTTAGTCTTCTCTTTTTCCTTTGTCAATCTAGCTAAATGTTTGTAGATTTGCCGTCTTTTCAAAAACCAGCTTTTGGTTTCATTTCATCTTCTCTGATTTTCTATTTCCTTTACTTTTGCTCTAATCTCTATCATTTCCTTCCTTCTGCTTGCTGTGAGTTTAGTTTGCTTTTTCCTACTTTCTTAAGGTGGAAGGTTAGATTATTGATTTGAGATTTTTCTTCTTTTTAAGATATATGTTTACAGTTACAAATTTTCCTCTGAGAGCTGCTTCTGACACCTCCCAAAAGTTTTAGTATGTTGTGAATGTTCCTGCAGTTATTTTTACTTTCATTCCACTGTAATCAGAAAAGACGCTTTGCATAATGTCAATTTTTAAAAATTTATTGAGACTGGCTTTATAACTCAACATACAGGCTATAATGGAATATTCTTTGTGCACCTGAGGAGAATGGGTACTCTGCTGTTTCTGGGTAGAGTGTTCCATAAATATCTTATAGGTCTAGTTAGTATATAGTTCATATATACAGTGTATAGTTCAAGTCTTGTATGTCCTTGCTGATTTTCTATCTAGTTGTATCCTAATCATTACTTTTTTTTTGCTAAGTAATTTTCTATTGTGCTAAGATATACATAACATACAATTTATCACTTTAACCATATATGAGTGTACAGTTCAGCGGCACTAAGTACACTTACATTGTGCAACCATCACCACCATCCATCCCCAGAACTTTTTACATCTTGCATAAACCGAAACTCCGTACTCTTCTAACAATAACTCCTCATTGATCCCTGCCCTCAANCACCACCATCCATCCCCAGAACTTTTTACATCTTGCATAAACCGAAACTCTGTACTCTTCTAACAATAACTCCTCATTGATCCCTGCCCTCAACCCCTGGCACCACCATTCTACTTTCTGTTCCTATGGATTTGACTATTCACATAAGTGGACTCATAAATATTTGTCCTTTTGTATATGGCTTATTTAATTTCTTATAATGTCATTAAGGTTTATCCACATTTCTAGAAGTTTTTTCCTTTTTAAGACTTCATAATATTCCATTTTGTTTATCTGTCCATCTGTTGGACACTTGGATTGCTTCTACCTTTTGGCTATTGTGAACAGTAGTACTGCTATGGACATGGGTGTATAAATATCTCATTCAGTCCATTGTTTTCAATTATTTTGGTTAGGTATATACACATTAGAAGTAGAACTGCTGAATCATACAGTAATTCTATATGAATTACTGCCATATTTTTTTCTATAGCCATTGCAGTGCATAAGGTTTCCAATTTCTCCACATCCTTGCCAACATCACTAGTCTTTTTTGTATCTAATGAAAGCTGGAGACATTTAGACACTTAGCAAATCCTCACTATTATGACTTTCTGAGAATTCAGTCCATTGTAACACACTTAGCTCTTCAATCCTCAATGAGCTGAAGATCACGGCCTGAAGTCATGTACAAATTTGTCCAAAAGGGAATTCATTTTGGCAGATCTTAATCTGCTCCTCTATTACTCCATTACCTCTTTTATACAAAAGTTGCCAGAAGAGGTTATAGCTAGTTCTTTTATGTCATTTTGGTGAAATGGGGGCTGATATGATGAGACCAAGAATACAGAACTTTAATTCCCTTCTCCTGTTGTATTTCTGTGTGGTTGCACCAAAATATGAAACAGCAATTGAGAACACTGGCTGCAGGATAGGTCGAGTCTCTATAACTAAAATCATATGTGAGGACACTGGAAATCTAAACTATAGTTTTCAGCAGTCTACTGGACATATTTTAGAGGTTTCCATTGTGTGAATGAGGATTTCCTCTCCAAATACCATATTTAACATCACTTAAAATAAAATATTGAAAGGGGGAAGAGACGGACAGACAGACACAAACAGAGGAGTAAAGGGCAGGCTATTAAAACAGTCCAGATGTGAAATGATTAGGGCACAAAGACAGCACAGTAGGAAGGGGAAAATTCTATGAAAAACAACTTAGCCAAAACAAAACTTCAAACATAATAATTAAAATATTAATTTAAAGTAAAATAAACATATTTGTACTCAGTCCAGATGAGACCTCAACAAAAGCATTTAACTGAGACTTAAGAAAAGGCTGTAATAGCTGAATAAGAGAACTACAAAGATTAGCTCCTCTGGAAAGGAAAGAAACTTCTTTAAGTGACACGTCACCAAATCTGGGGTAGACTTTCAATGCGCTGAATGTATTCCTGAAATTTACTACAGGATTCATCATTTCTAATGTGAGCTATGACACTCCAGCACTTGATCTGGCAACTGCTCATGTGGGACAAAACAACTGTATGGTTACCTGGTAGCCTTCTGTTTTCTTCTGACACCACTTCAGCAAAGCGTTCCTCTTGGACCCTCCATATTCCCTCGCCAACGCTGAGAGAGGGTCCTTCCTTTCTTCCCTGAGAAGTGAAAATAAGGAACCCAAAGTTAAAATGTTTTTTTATTTGAGCACCATTATAAACCAGAAATTCAACAAATAAAAAAGACCAGTGTTTGTCTGCATACTTGAATGGGATAAATGCATACACTAAGGCATCCAAAGGCAAGATGTATACTTTCATTCATTTGATTTTACCTACCAATTTTTACAGGGTCCCCATAGACCTGCCACCGTCAGGACTTTCTGCTACCTGAAGGGAGGGACTCTACTCTTTACCCACACGAAAACTGGCAATGATTCGGTATAGTATGCATTCACAATGAACAGAATGCATTCTGGGATGCTCAGAAGGGGAAAAGCAACCCCGCATTGGCAGCATCTGAAAACTGGCATAGCTGCCTTTCATTCAATATCTTACCCTTTCATAATCTTTATGCTTTGGTTTTATTTTACTCATTTTTGTTTCCAAAAATATCTATAATTGTTTCACCTTTTAAAAGAATTACTTATTATAAACACAAAGGACAAGGTTATGCAAGATGAAGAACTAGAAGGCATAGTTTCTGCCTTTGAGGTGCTTACAATTAGGAGGAGTAAAACATAAGATGGCAATAAAAACTAGAAACATCCACAAAATATCTCAAATGTGTTTAATGCTAAGCTGTACACTCTTTACTGACTATAGGTAATTAGAATTTTACCTTGCACAGAAAATAGAATTTTTCTGTAAACTCACTCACTCATTCAACAGCCCCCCATATGTAGCACCATTGTGCCAGACAATGTGTGCTGGGCAAGGGACAGTGAACAACACAGGGGCCCTGCCCCCTCAAAGAACTTCAGAGTTTACTACAGGATTGACATACTATAGAAGCTTGGGGAAAAAACATCAATGGCTATATATAACTCATTTCTTAAAATTATATGTAGGACACGTTAGGGCACTGTTCATTGCCTTGGAGGCAAAGAAAATATCCTGCCCCAAACCGGACACTAAATCAAAAAAGATTTTGTGATCACCCTGATGAGAGCAGGGGAAGCATAGGACTCTACTCATTTAGCACCAAATCCTTCCTTCCAGTCACTACTTTAGAAATAGAACAGAACATTAAGGAATTCCTGGAGAGAGAGATTGCTTTGTAAAATAACCTGCTCCTTGACAAATGGCATACTCTTAAAACCTTGGTCTATTTTTTAGTGCTTTTTTTATAAAGCAGAGATTCTAGTCCCAAGCCTCATAAACATAGCCCAGTAAGTGCCCTAGAGGTTATTACAAGTGGATTAGCATTCTTTAGCACACTGATTCTGTCTGTATTTACCTTTCAGAATACGTCAGGAAATCAGAGAATACACATTTAGAAATGAAGCTTTTCCAATTGAGAGGTACACTGAAATAGTACCAATTTTTACTTATCTTAGAACCAAAAGTAAAATACAAAAATATTTCAACATGCAGTTAAGACTACTGCCTTGAAGAAATATACTTTTATGTTGCTATACCTGCCTGCCAGATTCCTGCTTTGGTTTAAAGGGTTCAAAGAAGTTTGTTATAACACCACTGAATACAAAAAAAGAAAATGAAGATAGATTTAAGTGAATGAACACAAAAGACAACTCCTCGACCCCCGAATCTCCATCAAGTCAAAAATAAAAGTAACTACTACAATCAATGTGAAAGGTTTACTCTGGCTCACACCAGGTATGTTTTATCATAAAAACAGCATCAAAAAAGAGTAAACTATATGGACACAATAAGAAGCTGCAGAAAAGAGCCTCCTAGAGCTGGAGGGTCATCTGTTATAACTTCATTGTAAGATGAGGAAACCAAGGTAGGAGATACCTTGTTGAAGATCATAGCTTCTAAGTGGGACAACCAGGAATAGTGGGTGCCCTTCCCAAAAGTACAAAGACAAATACAAACCGTGTTCTCCCCTGTATCAGCCAGGGCTGTGCAGGAGCTATATTGCATCTACACCCCTACTTGCTCCAATGGTGCACTGCTAATGGGACCACTATTCTAAGAGGTTGGTCCCCTAGAGGCAGGGCTTTACTTTAAAAGTATATAATTTGAGTCTGAGATGCCAAATATTCCATTTTACCCTCAAACCTATAAGTCAATATATGACTAAATTTCTGAAACCCATCCATATCTTACTTTCAACTCTTAATACATCTTAATTCTTAATTTCTCTTGATACTGAATTCCTCCTAATACTTCTTAAAGAGGAGTTTTCTTCATTCCTACAAACAATGTATGCTAAATTTCTGACATCAATTTTTTCTTTCTAAATTATAAATACTTTTTAGTCCCAAACGGCTCCTGATATAAGAGAAACGGGAATGAGAATAAAATATAGTGCATTTTCATGTATTGCTTCTCCATGAATAACAGCCTCAAGTTCTCAGCCATCTTTGGTACCTCTCATTCTTTCATTCCTTTTCTAAAAATCTGTTGCCAAAATTAACCATCTTGTCCTTTAAAAACCTCCTGAGCCCAACCCTCCTTTCATCATTTCCACAGCTATCACCCTGGTGCAAACTTGATAATGTTGTCCCACAAGCAGTGTGATATTCCTTTGGTGCTCTCTGCAACTTCGGTTCAGAGGAGAGTAACCCTTGCATCACCTTCTCACACTAATTTATTCATCCCGCTTTAGGGCTGTTACCATATCAAAGTGGCTCGATTCGACTCTAAAGAGGTTCTACTGTACAGCTGCACTAGACCCAGTCAACCTTACCCCACTGCCCCCGGTATGGAGGCACACACCTTCCGGTTTTCTGTACCTACCCTCTCTGTGTATGCAGTTCCACCTCCTCACCTATTCATCTTTTTTGTACATTCACTCAAGTGATTGGCCTTAACAATAACGCCTGCCTTCCCTCTCCATCCACTGTCCTCAAGGCCCCACTCAAATTCTACTTTTCTAGCCTTCCCTAACATTCCACCCACACCCCCAGTATTTGAATTTCACAATTCTTACTTTTGTATTCAACCATTCACTAATTGAAAAACCCGAAACACCAACTGCTTGAGAAAGAAACCATCTCTTTGGGGAAAGAAATGATCTCTTTAACTTTGTTTTACTTTTTACTTCTATACCATCTTACCCAATTCTGGGCATAGAAGAGATGATCAGAAAATACATAACACTCAGTGAAAAAAAAATCTGTGCCTGAATGCATTACTTTCTAACTTGATCATTTACTCTCAAAAGACCAGGAAAGGTGTGCATGAAATGCATCAATATGAACTATTCTCTACCTTATCCGGCTTCGGGTGGTGGGGGTCACAGATGCTGTCGGGGAGGAGGAGAGGGAAAGCTGTGGCGATGTGGTGCCCATAGCCATGAGAGAAGCCGGTGATGCCCCCTCGGGTGCAGAGATGTCTCGTTTCATCTCTTCACTACTTCGTCGAGACACTGAAAAATAGTTATTAAGCATTTTATAGCAAAGATTTTTTTTTTTTTTTT